GGGGGGGGGGGCGCTCGGGGCCCCTGGGCAGGTGCAGCCGGGGGCAGGTCTCAAGATCCCGGGCAGGTGCAGCCGGGGGGCCGAGACCCCCGGGCAGGAGCCCCGAGGCACCCAGTGGAGCCGGGTGTCCCCCAGAAACACGGGCAGCACCGGGGTCGGGGCTCCGTCTCTCTCCCTTCGGCTCCACGTTTCGGGTCCGGAGCCGCGGGGCTCTTGGCGCGGTCGATGGGACCGGCAGAGAAGCTCCCAGGCCCGTGGTGATTTCCCCCTCTCTGCTCCCCAAGGACTTCACGTTGTCGAAGGGGAAAGACGCCCCCGCGGGGCAGAATGACGAGAACTCGGAGCGTGGGAACTGGTCCAGCAAGACGGACTATCTGCTGTCCATGGTCGGCTACGCGGTGGGGCTGGGGAACGTCTGGCGGTTCCCCTACCTCACTTACCAGAACGGAGGGGGTGAGTGTTGCCCTTTCTCTGCAGTGTGCTACCCAAACCCAACGCACCGGCTGTCCCCAAGCTCCCTGCTTGAGGAGAGCGAGATTGTGAGGACCCGATGCTATTTGTTAGACCGTCTCAAACCCGAATCTCAGCTCCAAACATCCCTGAGCTTTTGGAGAAGTTGGGATTCAGATTTGAATGAACGTTACAGCTGGCATCAGCCTTTATCATCGGCTAGACCCAAACCCTAACCCTGGAGAAGGTGGGGTGGGCCCATCTCCAGTTAGAAGTGGATCAGGGTGCTAGGAACAGAAGGAAAATGTGAAGTATCAGTTCCAAACTCCTTACCTGTCAGGTAATGATGATAGTGTAACTATCAGGAAAGTAACTGAAATACTTCTCTGATGGGTTATAACTACTAAGAGACAATCCATCCTAAATGCTCAATTACTGAGGGACAATCTACACTCATTTCTATATTTGCTTTCTACAACCAACTCTCTGTATAACTTTTCATGGGTGATATCCCCCAGTATTTGGAGTCTAATATCTAAACTGTACGGTTACATTTATCTACATTTGGGTTCTCGCAGATTATGTACTATATGTATTTTATGCGTTTTTAAACAAACTTGGTATCTGTGGATAATCTAAGCACTGTACCGGGGTGGGCAAACTTTTTAGCCCGAGGGCCACATCTGGGCATGGAAATTGTATGGCAGGCCATGAATGCTCATGAAATTGGGGTTGGGAGTGCAGGAGGGGGAAGGGCTCTGGGATGGGGCTAGAAATGAGGAGTTCGGGGTGCAGGAGGGGGCTCTGGGTTGGGGCAGGGTGTGTGTGTGTGTGGGGGGGGTGAGGGTTCCAGCTGGGGGGTGCAGACTCTGGGGTGGAGCTGGGAATGAGGGGTGCAGGAGGCTGCTCTGGGCTGGGACCAAGGGGTTCAGAGGTGGGAGGGGGATCAGGCATGGGGCAGGGGGTTGGGGTGTGGGAGGGAGTCAGGGGTGCAAGTCCGGGCGGTGCTTACCTCAAGCAGCAGCGTGTCCCCCCTATGGCTCCTAAGGAGAGGCGCGGCCAGGTAGCTCTACACGCTGCCCTGTCTGGAGGTGCCATTCCTGCAGCTCCCATTGGCCGCAGTTCTCAGCCAATGGGAGCTGCGGGGGCGGCGCTTGGGGCTTGGGCAGCATGCGGAGCCCTGTGGCTGTTTCTACATGTAGGAGCTGGAGGGAGAACATGCCGCTGCTTCCAGGAGCCGCACAGAGTGGGGCAAGCCCCGGATCCCACTCCTCAGTGGGAGCTCGAGGGCTGGATTAAAACGTCTGATGGGCCAGATGTGGCCCCCGGGCCGTAGTTTGCCCACCCCTGCACTATGCCCAGATATATTTAGCACTTAATTAGTCATGTCCATCTGAGGCTCTCCAAGCAAGGAGAAGAAGAGAAGCACCCCCATCAGACAGATGGGAAAACGAGGTACAGAGAGGCTGTAACTTGTTCAGACTTATGCAATGAGTCAGTGGCAGAACCCAAACCAGAACCCGGGTCTCCTGACTCCCATTCCAGTGCTCTGTGGACCTAACCTACTGCCAGGGCTGGGTAATCAACCAGACCGCAATATTCTCAGCATTTGGTCATTCCTGAGGCCTCAGTCCAGCAACGCATTTAAGCACGTGCGTGAGGCTTCAAGTTAGTTTGACTGCTAATGTGCTTCTCCACCTACCTAAGTGCTTTGCTGGCCTGGGGCCTGGAGACACCCCTGCTTCACTATTGTCAGTGCAATAGGACTAGTCATCTGAGAGAGGGTAACTCATGTGAGTAAGAGTTGCAGGACAGGCTTTAAAGTGGAAATCATTAGACTGAAGAACACAGAGAAAAGTAATTGTGATGTGACCTGAATTAAATGACACTGTGGGTTTCTCAAACTGTGGGTCGGGACCCCAAAGTGGGTCATGACCCTGTTTTAATGGGATCGCTAGGGCTGGCTTAGTCTTGCTGGAGCCCGGGGCCGAAGCCGAAGCCCGAGAGTTTCAGGCCTGGGTGGCAGGGCTCAGGTTACAGGCCCCTTCTCTGGGGCTGAAGCCCTTGGGCTTTGGCTTTGACTCCCCCCTCCACCCACTCCGCCCAAGGCAGTGGGCGGGGGGCTTCGGTCCCCCCTCCTGGGGTCGAGTAATAATTTTTGGTCTCAGAAGGGGGTCGCGGTGCAGTGAAGTTTGAGCACCCCTGACTTAGAGCCTATTCTGTTCGTTGTTAATGGCTGTTTCTGGTGTAAATGTTGAAGGTTACACTTATCTGTACTTCACAATGCTGCACTCCAGTTAGAAACCGTCCCACACTAAATGATGCGCAATGCCTATTTATTTTAAAGGGCCTATTTTAAAGTGGCATCCCCTTTTTTACCTGGATTAAAAATAGTTTACCCCAAACAAAGACTAACAGAGCAGTATGTGTTGGACAGTTTTTTATCCTTATTTTCACAAAAGAAAAGTTGTGCCATAAAAATTCGTCAGTTCTAAGTTGCAGAGCCTAGCAGGGTGGCTCAGTGCTCTCAGTGCCTGTGGCAGGATGAGGCAGCGCTGCAGAGGAGAAGCAGTTAGAGGCATTGTGCAGTGTCTAAAATTAGTGTTAAAGGTTTGTTTTGAATTACTGTTATTTATCTATGATGGACCAGTTTGAGCTATTCTTACTCATAGGGGTAGTATCTGACTCACGCTGAGCAGCCCCAGGCAAGTGAGTGCACACAGCAGATTCTAATCATTGGTATTTATATAGCACTGTACATTTGCTTGGTACCTATAGACATAAAAAAGAGCTGAGGTCAGGTTTTTGATCATTCAACCTTTCTATGTGTGTGTGAAAATCCAAGGTGCAAATAACCACGGATGCAGTTTTGAGCCTACATTGATTTGCAGGTGGAACTGACGTAACGTGGAAGTCTAAGTACCTGATTTGTGAGTGCAATATGGTGCACATTTTATTTTGCTTAAATCATTAACATTCAAATTAAATTTTTATTAATAGTTGGTTTTATAAAATGTTTATTTTTAAATTACAAAATCTAAATCTTGGGCTGAGCTACGTGACAGTGTTCCTGTGAGCAAGTACTGAAAGTAAAAAGCAGGTGGGGGAAACTAGATCATTTTAAAACTTTCATATATATGTTATGCAAGAACATCTATTCCCTTTTATTCAAAATATGAAAGGCCCACCGTTTCAGCCTTGGGGTGGGCCTTTAGCACTGTGCCTTGAATCTTAGCCTTTTAAAGAAGTTATTCAGAGATCGAGCCACCTCAGCATCTTTCTGACCTACTGATCTTTTCCCGTGAAACATATTTTCAGTTGTGGCCATAGGCACAATTCGTAGTCATGCCTGAAGGTATATCAGGGACAAGCAAACGTGACACAAGCAAACATCTCTGGATAGACAAGGTAACAGGCAATTGCGCAACCAATTGCGCAGCCTGTTGTTGGTAAGAATCTATCATTGTGAAAGAATTAAATACATGAGAACTTTATTTTACATAACAGCCATGCTTATGTTACTAACGTTACCTTTACTGGAACCTGGATCAGACCTCCAACGAGTAATTACCCCTTTCCTCTGCAAATACTATTTGATTTTACAGAACACAGTCCTTTAAAAAAACAATCTGTACAAAATAAAAAACACTTTGGTATATTTGCATATATGACTATACAAAAAGGAGTCGAATTGTGCCGGTATAATAGGTTTTTTTATTTTCCCCAGGTGCCTTTCTAATACCCTACACAACTATGCTGGCATTAGCTGGTTTACCTTTATTTTTTTTGGAATGTTCCCTGGGACAGTTTGCCAGTTTGGGGCCAGTTTCTGTGTGGAGAATATTACCAATTTTACAAGGTCAGTGACATTAGTTTTTTATGTATAGATCTTCTTTTGTTGCTCTAATAGTCAAAAGTGGATTAATGATTTCCCCATAATGCTTCTGGCTAGTGTCGTAAATTAGACTCTACATGGAGTGTCATGCCATTTCATGGATGGCCAAACTCGGAGGGCTAGTATGTACTGTATGAGAGGCACTATATGTGATACATCAGAAGCAGCAATTTTCCAGCGTGTCAGTGTAACTTTATTGTTTCTCATTTACTGGCTATGTCTTCTCACTCTATATGCTAAATAGGGGTCTGCATGAGACATGCAAATCCCGCATTTAGCTGCTCAGATCGGCACTTGCACGTGTAAAGAACCATTTTATGCACCTACGCGCCTATGCCCCTGGGCCTCTATTCCAGCAGTGTGGTCTGTGGGGCAATCAGAGACATCCCACACATATGGGAATCAAGATCATGGGGCAAATTCCGCCCTTATTTGCATCCATTCTGCTCCAACAAGGATGGACATAAACGAGGGCATCATTGGGCCTGCATGCCCTCCTGACCACCCAGCCGCATTAAGATAGGAATAAGGACATTACATTTTTAATCATATTAAGAGCTTTATTTGCCTTTACTGATCCTGTGTATTAGTAGACAACAAAAAGGGGTTATGTCCAGGCATTTACTGTTCCTGACCAGTTTCTGCCTCAAAACTCACCAGAAACAACCAGGCACTGCACACAAGCTTTCAAAATCTGCACAAGATGAAAAGAAGGATGGATCCAAACAGGGCCAGCTCCAGGCACCAGCCCAGCAAGCAGGTGCTTGGGGCGGCCAAGGGGAAGGGGCGGCACGTCGGGCTGTTCGGCTGCTATTCAGATGCGGGTCCCTCTCGGAGGGAAGCACCTGCCACCGAATTACTGCCGAAGAAGAAAGCGGCGCGGTGGAGCTGCCGCCGGAGTGCCGCCGATCGCAATTGCGATCGCGGCTTTTTTTTTTTCCGTCGCTTGGGGCAGCAGAAACCCTGGAGCCAGTCCTGGATCCAACCCAGAGGCAGTTGGGTCTATGGAAATAGCCAGGGCTGTGTGTGTGTGTAAACACGTATGTCATATATACTCCCCGAGATCATTAGAAAAGGTTTGGTAGGTTGACCTCAAACTCACGAAGTTCCTTTTGACAAAGGAAAAGCTGCAGTGTGCTTGCAAACCACTATTTGATGCTGTCTTTCATTCACTGATGCAACTAGCAATCACAATGAGATCTCTACAAACAATGCGATGAGGCCCAGTTTTGTATACGTTTCCTTTCATTTTATTTCGAGACACCCAGACCAAAATCCATTGAACTTCAGGGTTACAGAAAGTTTAAAACCTCACCCAGACTTCACAAATGGCTCTGATTTTTCTACACGGCTGGCCCAAACCCTGGATCCAAACCCCCATTTGGGATATTCAAAATCTGGATCCAGTCCCTAATTTTGTGGCTTCAGCCCATCTCTCCGTTTGTTACTGTCCAGGGTAAAAGGAATGAAGGTAATTCTTCTCCACTGATGTTCTGCTTTTCCATTTAACTAGCACCGGTATTTTCCACCCCAATTTTCCTATATTTAACAAATTTCTTTTAGCGATGAACCCTCCCTTTCGCCTCCTTTCTATCTTCTTCACCAGTCCTTTCTTCAGCTGCAAAGAGCTGGGCATGGTTCCCTTTAGCACGTGATTCATTGCTACTTGTACTGGCTACAGAGAGTGATGTGGTACATCCCCCCCTTTCTTCTGCTCAGTCTATTGCCACCGTTCCCTTCTTTCCTGGTAGTCTGGGATCTGATCTCATCCCCTCCCTAACTGGGCATCCTGTAAGTGAGCTGGCCTGGTTCTTTAACGCTAACATGGACTCTTGGACTAGCATGGTGTAGTTTTCCCCTAACTCAATGTGGAATGCAGAAGACTCTCCCTTACTTTACCAAGTTGTTTATATTTATCTTTAAAATGATGTAAATAACCTAATCAGGGCCGGCTCTGGCTTTTTTGCCGCCCCAGGCAAAAAAGCCTCCTGCCACCCCCTGCCTCCCGGCAGGGAGCACAGCAGGGGAGGGCGGCGAGCCCAGCCAGGGCCCCGCTCTCCCCGACCGGCCGGAGCGCTGAGGGAGGGCGGCAAGCCCGCTGCGGCTCCGCTCTCCCCGGGTGAGCGCTGCCCCCCTCCAGGTGCCGCCCCAAGCACATGCTTGGTAGGCTGGTGCCTGGAGCCGGCCCTGAACCTAATAGATTAGCCTGAATGATCTTAGTCTTACTGCTAAGAAAGATCAGTAAGGTTAAGCTGTTAGTTTATTTACATACAGAAGTGATACGTCTTCACAGACTTTAGCCACACCATGCCTATAGAAATCAGCTATGTCCGAATTTTCCCTTCAGCACCGGATTCCCCTTGGTATCTGAACCAGTGCAATCTGGTCCTCTCTCTTTGGCCTGGACTGCCTTGGAGCAGATGTTGTATTCTGTTCTGTTCTTCTTCTGCCCTCTTCCCATAGCATCTTCGTCCTCAGTTGGGCCACTCCACACACTAACATTACAGACTCGTAGACTTTAAGGCCAGAAGGGACCCTTGTGATCATCTGGTCCGACCTCCTGCACCTCGCAGGCCACAGAACCTCACCCACCCACTCCTGTCCTCCCCTAACCTCTGGCTGAGTTACTTTCATCCTCCTGCTGCACTACACTGACCCTTCCTCCCCTACGTTTTCGAGGAGGTATGTAGCATTGGGATTGGGTGACGACATTCCCTACAGCTATTAAAATGTAGTGTGTCTCCCCCGCCAACTCTTCAGCAATGCTGAGGCTTTTTTGCAATCTGCAACCTGTAAATCCCAAAGGGCACCCTACTTCCTGGTAGATAGGCAGAAGGGTAGAGAAATGTGGAGTTCACTGAAGTTGATGATTGACATTCTCTTTATACTGTGTTTGAGTTGGATGATGAAACTTCTGCTCTCTTTTCTAGGAGTGGGAATCACGATGGTCATCATCACCACCTTGGTGACGGTCTATTACAATGTTATCATTGCCTATGCCCTCTACTATCTGTTTGCCTCCTTCCAAAGTGTACTGCCGTGGTCGGACTGCTTTGCGTGGGCAGATGAAAATTGCAGCAAAACACCTGTAGGTACGGTACTTTTAAATAATCCACACTATTACTAGGAATAATTCCATTGCTTCTGTTTCCCAGTAATAAACAAAAGACATGAAAAAGGGCAGTAGTGGGACAGTTAGTTGGCCATGATGCTGTCTGGAAACCTTACCTTGACAACCAGTTGACACCTGGACTGATCTTCTTTCTATCTGCCTGTAGCATTTGCCCATATGATCTGTTGGGAGCTAGAATGAGTCCTCCTTTCTGCCCATCTTTCCTAGAATAACAGATCTCTAGACTGGTATAAAATCACCAAAAATACCGCACTGCAATTTCATTAGTGCTTCGTGACAAAGAAATGGCCATCCTAATGCAAAAGAAATGCATACCTAGTGCATTCACTTGGGGCTCTTCCAAAATCCTTTATCCTATATGTGTGGCTTTGTTAACATCATGTGTTGGATGGACATTGGCTTCATGTTTCATCATGTCTTTAGATAATATTTCCAGGCTATTGATTGGCTGTGTGCATGCGTGATTTAAAAATGGTCATTTCCTATCCCCCAGTGAAGTTTAATAGTTTATCACAGACTGCAGTTCTGACATATTACTTAACAGTTTTACATTTATACATTTCAAGGAGATTCTCATTTAAAAGACTAAAAAAAAATGTTTCACCCCATATTAGAAGAGTGCTGGATTGGTATAAAAGTCAGACAAATTGCCCCAAAATTCTGCACTACAATTTCACCAGGGTTTCATGTCAAGTAAATCCTCTTGCTGATAGTGCATTTAATGCATTGATCAACTCTTGTTTGGCTTAAATTGTAGCCAAGAGATTTGCCCTACTTTTTAAAGAGAACTAGGAATAATGCCAGTCTGTTCCCATCAGTATGATATGGGATTGCTATAGATGAGTGTGAATACTGGATCTGGCCCTTACATTATCAGAGTTGGAAATCTTAACCGCACCCAGATCTGATTTTTGCGAACATTTCCTGTCTTTACATTAGGCCAGCCAGATTCCCAGAGCTGAACACACCAGACCTGGGAGTGTTTGGGTAGGAAGCCAAATCCACATCTGAAAGTGGTGGCTGGGGTCTGTCTGTAGTTACCACAAAAATACACACTGAAGCCATAACAGCACGAAAAAGGCACTCACCGTAATCAAAGTCTGTTTCTAATTTCACCACTGAACATTAACAACCCTTTCTCTTTTAGTGAGCGATTGCAATACGACCTTACCAAACGGGATAATCATTCACACAAACTACTCGTATGTCACCAGCAACAATCTAACCTGTCTCAATGGCAGCTTAGTGTATAAACAAGTGCAACTTCCCAGTGAGCAGTACTGGAAGTGAGTATACAGTACCACCTTTATATTGCTAAATCAGTATGTGCTGTGTGGGGCTTGGAGAAACCCTCTGTGTAACTCAGGGATCGGCAATGTTTGGCCCGCGGCCCACCAGGGTAAGCCCCCTGGAGGGCCAGGCCGGTTTGTTTACCTGCCGCGTCCGCAGGTTCGGCCGATCGCGGCTCCCATTGGCCGCGGTTCGCTGCTCCAGGCCAATGGGGGCTGCGGGAAGCGGTGGCTAGCACATCCCTCGGGCCACGGCGCTTCCTACAGCCCCCATTGGCCTGGAGCGGCGAACCGCGGCCAGTGGGAGCCGCGATTGGCTGAACCTGCGGACGTGGCAGGTAAACAAACTGGCCTGGGCTGCATGGCAAACGTTGCCGATTCTGGTGTAACTCAGACCACTTTCTAGAAACAGCTTTGGGCCAAGCTCATGGGACTGCTAACTAAAGCTGAGCAGTTGTGTCCGGAAAACATTAAATACTGAATCAGGGGTGACAAATGTAACACAAGTCACAGAGAAGCACAAGAACAAATTTATAACTAAGAAATAAATCATAAAATTGAGGAAGTTTTCTCCCCTTAAACTCCCGAACATAAGGCACGTTCTTTGTCCCAAATTAGGATGTTGAAAATATTCAGCCAGTCCACTTGCCTTTTATATACCTGTCATTACAGAGCACTTTCCAGGACAGGTAAGTGTTCATAATGTGCAGGTGTTTCACCTGCATACGCCACACTTAGGTGTATGATTCACTGCTGTCTGATGATTAATAGAGGAATAAGCCCTGCCAGGGTGTGCATTAGCATGCCATCAGTTCACCTGGGGCCAGAAGCCGCATGGCTCCAGACACCCTGGAAGAGTATCACTAGTGAATCAGTGCTCACTGTAGCACGGTTTGTTGCTGTTACAATACAGATCGTTCAGAACCACTCTTGCCTTCACTATTTTAGGTTTTTCTATGGTGTCCATCACCCAGGCACCTGGAGCTGCACAAAAGCCCATAACACAGAGGTGTTTTTCTTCTAGTACTACCCCACTGGCCACTTGCTCCTTCACTTTCTGAATCTGGCCCTAAATTGGAATCTAGCTACTTCCAGTTCTATAATGGTAATTGAGCTGGCAATGAGTGGAAAGACTAGCCGGTTCGTTGGAGAGGTGTTTTCCTCCAACTCCTCTCAGCCTGGCAGCGCTGGGCTCATCCTTTTAGTTAATAACCCGAGCTGGCTCTGTGCAGTAAGGTTATCGTTTTAAAATCAGCACAGTTGTGTCTATCCACCTACTGAGCGTCAATCCGAGGCAGGGGTGAGAGGAAAGCATTGGTTTCTCTTTGAAGCCTCCAAAGAAGCCACCTTTCCAATCACTCCCAGCCTGGCCTGCTACCCGGGAAGTCAATGGAATTTAAGTACTTGCTTGAAATCAGCAGATGCTTAAAAGTTTAAATGGACACATTTAAGAGCCCAGCTAGGAGGCGGGGATGGAGGGGGGCTGACAGGCTCTGCACCAATGGAAGTTGATGCGTGGGTGTGACATCACCAGCTAGACAGACATGAGCATCCCCTCTCCAGAGGTGGCTCTGGATAATCAGTGGGGCTCTTCATGCCAGCAGCTGCCACACCCTGGTGCAAGCGACGCGATGCTGATCACGATGTTCTGTGCTTTCAGTAAAGTGGCCCTTCGGCGTTCCAGCGGGCTGGACGAGACGGGTGAAATTGTCTGGTACTTGGCCCTCTGCCTGCTCCTATCCTGGCTGATAGTCGGAGCTGCATTATTTAAAGGGATAAAATCTTCAGGAAAGGTAAGTCGGGAGAAACCCATGCTAGATTTCTGGGACTGATCCTGCCAAGGGATGATCCCAACTTCAAGGGCAGCTCAGCACCTGGTGGGGTTAGGCCCTGATTCACTAGCCCATGACATAGGCACTGTCTGACTTTGCCGCTGCTGCTTGCTCATATTTTACATGACACGTATAAAGCACATGACGCCTGATTCTGCCACCCTGACCCAAGCTCAATGGTCCCTTATCCCACCAGGAATGATGCTGTTGGGGCTTTTTATGATCACGTGAGAGACGTTGGTTGAGGTCCTGTTATAGCCTGGTCTCTTGTGAAGCATGCACGCACGCGCGCACACACACACACTGCACGCGCACGCACACACACACACTGCACTCGCGCACACACACACACAATATACACATGCCTGTGATACCTACAGATTACCTATGTTTAGCCTGAAAGCATGGGCCCGATCCTGCGGACAGATATGCACTCGCCGCTTCCTGCTGCACTGTAAACTCCTGTCTCTGTCAACGGGAGCCCCCCAGGCTGTAGTCAGGGTCTAGGCGTGAGGACTCTTTTTTCAGACTCAAGCCCACTGAAGTCAGGTGACAGCCCCCAGGCTCTGAGTTCGTAAGTCAGCCCAGGCCCTGCAGCTCAGCGGGACAGAGAGACGTCACCGCACAGCAGTGCTGCAGCCAGAGGGGCAACGTCTGCTGGGTTGGCCTCGTTGGTCCTCAGGGGATGTCTATACCATAGTTAGGAGTGACTGCAGCACTGGAGACGCTGGCTTTGATCTCGCTGGCTCCGGTAACAATAGCAGAGAAGCCGCAGCAGCCTGGGCTGTACAAGCCCAACCCTGACCGTGGGGGTGTACGCAAGTGGCTAGCCCGGCCTGCCACGGCGTCTCTGCCAGTGTTATTCGAGCAGGCTGGCTGAAAGCTGGCTTGGGGCGTGCCGCAGCCACACCTCTGAGCAGTGCACATGGATCTTTCACTCATAACCCCAAGTCCTCCCGTCCAGCCAGGCTCCACAACCAGCCTGAAAATCCCCCTCTCCCCTGGCCATGAGTGACGGAGGATCCGCTGGGGCTAAAGAGGCTTTCAGCTGGGGGCGACTGTTACTCATTTTCCTACGAGAGGCCCGGCCCCCTTGCCTGGTTTCTTGACTCCCCGTTCTTCTCTCATTCTTCTTTCTTTGCTCCCATAGGTTTCTCCTTCTCCCTGGCTCCTCCAGTTCCTTGCTCAGTTCCCCCCCTCCCCCCCATATCTGTCTTCTCACCTGGATCTCTGTCTCCCTGCAACTAGCGAACTTGATTTTCTTTCCCTTCCTCCCATGTCTGTCTTCTTCTCTCCTTGCTTCACCATCACTTTTCTCTGCCTCTCACTCTTCTCCGCAACACAATTTCTGTCCCCGTCTCCCGTCTCTTTGGGCCATACCGGCTTCCATTCCAGCCTCTAGTTCCTTCCTACTCCTAGGGGTGCTGGGCACTGGCTCTGCCTTTGGCCTAGAGCCCATCTCTCCCAGCATCAGAACAGGAGTGTCCCCTGGGCAATTAGAAAGCGGCTCTTGGAGCCAGTGCAGCCAGTGTGTTGTGGTGCAAGGCCACAGCATGATGCAATGCTATGGCAAGGCATAACCAGCTAATCTGCCTCAGTTACAGAGGTAAATGACAGTGAAACCTGCAGGGAGCGCCACCTCCAGAGTTGTTGTTGTTGTTTGTTTGTACTGTGGTAGCACCTAGGAGCCCCAGTTTATATCCCATGACCCCGCTGCGCCATGCGCTGTACGAATAAAGTCCCTGCCCCAACGAGCGTACAACTCCCTTTGCTCAGTAACTAAATCTGCTCCCACCGTTTTGTTCAACCTTTTTAGTAAATAGCCCCCTGCTAGCCAGCAGGCTTGGGCAGGTCCTGGGGCGCTCACTGGGACGGGTTGGACGAGGTTTGTTTGCCATCGGCGTGTACAGTTTATGAATCCAGACTGGTAATTTGTAGAGATGAACCAGGGAACGGTCACGTCCAGACTTGAATCCAGACTTTTCCAGCCCAGAAATGAATCCAGTGAACGGTTTGTTTGGATCCAGAGGTTTGGTTCAGGCCTTTTCTGGTCATTTTTATGTAGCATTTTCCCCCAAGCCTCATGCTTCTCCCTCCATTTCTCTCGGCAGGTTGTTTATTTCACAGCTCTCTTTCCATATGTTGTCCTCGTTATCCTGCTTGTCCGAGGTGCCACCCTGGAAGGCGCTCGGGATGGCATTGAGTATTACATTGGAACACAGTCCAATTTCACAAAGCTGATGGAGGCAGAGGTGAGGCTCAGGGTGGTTCTGAAAGCATAAAATATTTGCTTGCTTAGATCAGCTGGTAATTACACAATCTCAACGTTTATAAAGACTGGCATGTGGCTCGGTTTCCAGAATACAATAGCTTCCTTCTTAACCAGACAGACTCCTCTTATCCCTCCCTTCCAGTGAGTATCTAAGATTGGATCGTGTCTTCCAGAAACCCACAATTACAGCGAAACCCTCTATCCCCACCTAGAGCCCATTTATCCAGAAAAAGGGCAAGTCTGCCGCATCATTTGAACAAAGAGGAGTCTGGGTAGGGTTGCCTGCTATCACAACCACAGCTGAGGTTTCTGTGTTACCATCCTCCGCTTTTCTGGCGTGTGTAACTTTACTCGCTAGCCATGGATGTACCCTATGGCCCGGTGATAAAGTTCTCGCCATGAGAGTGACTATTAGGGCTGTGTAGAGGATCTGGACTCGCCCCTGCGGCGCCTCCTGCTGGTCGTCCTCAGGAATTAGCTCTTTGACCTAGGAGCGCCCTCTGCAGGCCGGTGATCCACTTGACGTTGGCCCCCGTGTCCCTCCCAGGACCCTGGTGCCCTTATCTCAGGTTCTGCCTCCTGCAGAACCCTCCCACAGTCTTACTGGGTTTCCCCACCCCAGGGGAACCCCCACCGCCTATCCCTACATCACCTCAGCCTGGGGCAGACTGCAGTCTATCAGCCGATCATCACAGGCAACAGGGGTTTGGACTGGCTGCCTTTACCCACCCTCCGGCTGCCCCTCTGCAAGCCCAATACCTAGGTGGGCCTAGAACTAGGCCCCGCAGCCTGGGGAGTTGCTGGCCTAGGGCTTCCCAGCTCCTAAGGCCTTTCCCCAGCCCTGCCTCCCTCTAGATCCCCAGGGTGAGTTCCCCAGCAGCCAGGCCTGTCTCCCTCTCAAGTCAGAGAGAGACTCTCCCTCTGGCTTCCCTGGCCTTCTTATAAGGCCCAGTGGCTTAGTTTGGGGCATGGCCCCAACTTCAGCCACTTCCCCCAATCAGCCAGGGTTTTACCTTGCCCAGCCCCAGCCCTCTGCAGGGCTTTTCCAACCCCTCCAGGGCCGGAGCGGGTGCTCACCCCGCTACAGGCTGCCTGCTTTGGTTGGCATGAATTTCAAGGCATTTTATCTGCAGGTTTTGTGAGTGTTTGAGCTTCAGTTTTAGACTGGTCACCTAAAACTATGCCTTGCCCTGGAAGTTAGATCAGGGCAGAATAGGGGGTGGAGAGCAAGGGAGGAGACTTGCTCCTAGCCTGGATCTTCTCTGAGGTTCCCTCCAACATCAGCTCCTATTTTAAGACCAAAGCTCAGGTGTGGTTCTTCCTAGCATGCTATAATAAAGGCTGGCCAGGGACTGGGGACCAGGGCTGGCTTTAGGCCGATTCCCCGGAATCGGGCCCCGCGCCTAAGAGGGCCCTGCATCTTTAGGTGCCTTTTAAATTTAAAAATTTTTTTTACTCACCCGGTGGCGGTCCGCTCCGGGTCTTCGGTGGCACTTCAGCGGCAGGGGGGTCCTTCAGTGCCATGGAAGACCCGGAGCCGAGTGAAGGACCCCCCGCCGCCGAAGTGCCGCCGAAGACCTGGACCGCCGCCGAATTGGGCCCCGCAGGTCCTAAAGCCGGCCCTGCTGGGGACAGCACTTGGAGCCTTTCACACTCAGCTGTCCATTCAGATCTCACCTTTGTCACAGCGATGGCTGTTGCCATATTATTGCTGGTTGGTGTCCAGGATCGTTTGGTTCTCAGTGGATGGGTGTCTGGTGCACGTCACCTGAAATGTTGGTGTAACCCGGGACTACCTCCTGAGTAGCAGAAGCAGTTCTTCCAGGTCCCAGTCTGAGGAGCATGGGTGGGACCATGTGTGTGGGAGCTTCCACCATTGCCAGCCTATGCTGTCTGTTTTATTTCTATATTGGTGTTTCTATGACGTTCATATCTCAGCACCTCCCAGACACATCAGTGAATTACATCTCTCCTTGCTCCTGTGCAACAGGAAAGTACTTTCCCCACCGGTCTGACCTATTGGGAAACTGAGATGCGGAACATTTAGATGACTTTGCCCAAGGTCACACAGGAGGTCAATGGCCAAGGTAGGAATAGAATCAAGATCTCCTGGGTTCTGGTCCAGTGCCTTAAGCACAAGACCAGCCTTCGTGCCCTTGGATAGGAAACTTCACTCCCCGGGTTCATTGATATATGGCACTTCTCACTAAAGTTCACATAACCGTATTTTTTTTTAAAAGGCAGCACCCCTTACAGAACACACCTAATGGGTTAGAACAAGTATTTCAGGGTAAATAATATAATAACCTACCTCAAATTATTTCTGTTTTAGGTTTGGAAAGATGCAGCTACTCAGATATTCTTCTCCCTGTCGGTGGCCTGGGGGGGCCTGGTCGCTCTTTCCTCTTACAATAAGTTCCATAACAACTGCTATTCCGATGCCATTGCTGTTTGTTTAGTAAACTGCCTCACCAGTGTGTTTGCGGGATTTGCGATATTCTCCGTTTTGGGACATATGGCTTTCCTGGCAGACAGACCCGTCTCTGAAGTTGTAGACTCAGGTTTGTTTGATAGTCTCACTATTCATCACAAAGTCTTCTTGTCTGTCACACTCTTGAGTGGTTTTCTAAACCTATTTAATCTCCGCTGCTCTGACCGTAGTTTATTGATGCCAAGCACTTTCAGTATATAGAGCAGGGGTAGGCACGTGCGCCGAAGGCGGCACGTGAACTGATTTTCAGTGGCACTCACACTGCCCGGGTCCTGGCCACTGGTCCGGAGGGCTCTGCATTTTAATTTAATTTTAAATGAAGCTTCTTAAACATTTTAAAAACCTTATTTACTTTACATACAACAATAGTTTAGTTCTATATTATAGACTTATAGAAAGAGACCTTCTAAAAACATTAAAATGTATGACTGGCACGCGAAACCTTAAATTAGAGTGAATAAATGAAGACTCGGCACACCCCTTCTGAAAGGTTGCCGCCCCCTGATATAGAGGCTTGAAAGAAGGAGGATGTTCTGTCCTGGTTTTCCATCACTAGTTGACTTCATGCTGTCCACCATAAATCAATGGAACTTCTGCTCCGAAGTCACTAAGGTGCTATTGAAAATCCCACCCTATGTATCAAGTTTATCTCAGCTGATGGGCAGGAGCAGTGATAGATTGATACATAAGGTAATAGAAGAGGACATTTTAAAAAATGAAAATACAGGCTTGATATTGATTCTATTTGTCCTATTGCATCAAACATGTTAGAAAATCTTCCAAATTATAGGTGAAATTCACCCCCTACCCAAGGCCTGTGCACAGTTTAAGTCCCACTGAAATGCTAAAAATAGGGCTTAAGTGGTTCTAAAGTAGCACACAAGCCTTTGGGAAGACGAGACCTTCTCACCAGGGGGAATTTCACCTCATCTATTTAAGAACCCTAAACCTTCCTGTTTAGCTATTGGAATTCTTTCTCGTTCAGGATCTGCCTGTAATGTTAGCCTATTCAAATCTGAATGAAAGTAATGAAATGTCGTTAGTATTTTTCTGCAATCCTATTCAGCCACAGCTAATAAACCTGAGCTTTGATGAAGTTTGGGTCAACGATTTCAGGCTACATCCTGCTTTGGTTATAGTCAATAGCAAAACTTCCATTGATTTTAATGGTGTCGGATTTAGTCTTTAAATTGCCCAACCAACACCTCACTTTGTACACCAAGTTCTGATATAATTTCCCAATATTTAAGTTTAAGAGAAATGAGTCAATTTTGCATTGACTGGGTCACGATGATAACGTATCTTCTCCTCCTCTATTTCAGGCTTTGATTTGGCATTTGTTGCCTATCCATCGGCTCTCTCCAAATTACCAGTTGCCCCTCTTTGGTCCTTTTTATTTTTCTTCATGCTTTTACTGTTGGGGCTCGACTCTCAGTTTGCTTCCATAGGTGAGTAAAACATGACATTAGAGCTGGGTCAAAATTGCTGATTTCCCCCCCAAAAAACCCGCAGATTTGGAATAACCAAAACATTTCAAGAATGTGTGTCAATTTCATTGAATTGTTTCAGTGACACCACCCCACACAAACCCTTCCAAAAATCAAACATTTCATTTTGGCATTTTCCAGATGAAACATTTTAATTTTTCAATTTCCAATGACATGTTGTTTAGAAATTTCCTTCAGTTTTATTTTGAGGAAATTTTAAAAACGCTTGAAAATTTCAGGTTGAACAAAATGTTTTGTTCAATGCAGAATGATTTTTTTTCAACTTTTCAGTTTGCTGAACATGTTGAAAAATTTTCATTTCAAGTGGATTGAAGTCGACAATTACACCTCTACCCCAATATAACGCGACCCGATATAACACGAATTCGGATATAACGCGGTAAAGCAGTGCTCCAGGGGGGTGGGGCTGGCGGATCAAAGGAAGTTCGATATAACGCGGTTTCACCTATAATGCGGTAAGATTTTTTGGCTCCCGAGACAGCGTTATATCGGGATAGAGGTGTACTTATTTATTTATTTATTTATTTTCAGAACAGCCAGTGAACGAAAAAATCAGTTATTCACACCGTTCTGCTTAAAATAACAAAATGCTTCTTGGTTAGTGTTAGCTGCATTTCTTCATTTTGCTGCCTATGTCCAACAAGTAAAATTCTCTCTTCCCCTGCAGAAACAGTGACAACCACCATACAAGATATATACCCCAAGGTGATGAAAAAGATGAGGGTTCCTGTAACGCTGGGATTATGCATGCTTCTGTTTTTTCTTGGTCTCATCTGTGTCACTCAGGTATAACATTAACTCTTTGTTGGCAATGGGTTTACTTGTAGTTCAGCTGGTGGGGGAATTTGTACAAGACAATACAATCATTTTCCTGGGTGACAAGCAAGTCCCTACTACCAGCATAGTCCTGTGTTTATGTATTCTGAGAGAGGTGACCTCCATGCCCCCAGTTCTGCAAACACCTATGGACATGCTTAATTTATGCATACAAGAAATCCTAATGGCAGTATTTGCAGAATCCAGTCCTCTGAAATGACTCTAATTTTTTAAATGCGAGCCTTTGTCAGCTTTTAATTTGTGAGCTGTTCTTTTAGTGTCTGTGAGCTGTTGATTTAATTTTTTTCTTCAGTTCAGGAGATTAATTTGTGTAATCTTTGTGTGTAACCCACACAAGGAACTTCTAGGTCTTTGTCCCCCTCTAGTGGCTGGTACATAACAGAGGATAAAAGTCAACTTCAGCAGCGCACTGCTAGTGTTACTCCTTTAGCTCAGTCCACAAAAGCTGATGTTATAGAACCCAGGGTCCCAGGTTCGAACCCGGCTGTCCTGTTACGTGTGTTTTTATATGTGCTTTGTTATTACAATAGTGATCAGGAGTGTGCCATACAATGCACTTGTCTGTGTTAAATATAAATATTTCAATGAAATAATGTGCAATGAATGAGATATCCACCCCTGGGAAACAGGGGTTTTAAATAAAAGCCCAGACTGAAGTTTAATTCAGTTGGCATGAGCGCCTCGTACTGCCCTACAAAAGGTTACTGGGTGAAAAGCGACCTCTTTATTGTTTGTTTTTCAGGCAGGAATTTACTGGGTTAACCTAGTGGATCATTTCTGTGCTGGATGGGGGATCCTTTTTGCAGCGGTCCTGGAAATAATAGGCATTAGCTGGATTTATGGTAAATCACTGACACTGGAAAATCAAGCTGTGGCAATGCAAATAATCCCGGTCATATCACAGACGTAAAACCAAAACATTCTACAGAAAAATGTGCATAATATCTCAATGGTTAAAAATATCTCTTGTTCCAAATCATTAGCACATAAGAATGGCCAGACTGGGTCAGACCAACGGTCCATCTAGCCCAGTAGCTTGTGTCCTGACAGTGGCTAATGCCAGATGCTTCAAAGGGAATGAACAGAACAGGGCAATTACTGAGTGATTCACACCCCGTTGTCCACTCCCAGGTTCTGGCAGTCAGAGGCTAGGGACACTCCGAGCATGGGGTTTCATCCCTGCCCATCCTGGCTAATAGCCATTTCTGGACCGATCCTCCATGAACATATAATTATAAGGAGCAATGCATCCATGCTTTGTAGCGCTCCCCATACTTGCTTTCTGTACATCATAAAACCCATGTTCTAGACCCTGATCTTACAGTGCACTCTTTGGCCATCTTTGAATAGGAGGAAACCGATTTATCCAAGACATTGAAATGATGATTGGAAAGAAGAGCTGGTGGTTCTGGCTGTGGTGGAGAGCATGCTGGTTCTTCATTACCCCGGTTCTCTTATGTGTAAGTACCACGGTCGAACTACTTTGAATTTTTGGCCACGAACATATTCATTCCACGTTGAACAGTTTCCATGTAGAGATTTGGGGCTGCCCCTTTCAGCCTGCGTTAAAGCCAGCGTAACAGGCCGGCTGAGGGTTCTCCACGCGTGTGGCAACTCAGACGCCATCCCTGCCAAGCATCCCTCCCCGGGCACAGGACGCATGGCTGCTGCCCTTGGGCTCTGGCAGTGCCTGGCCATCGCAACTGGTGCTGAAATTTAAACCGGCCCGGGGTTGCTGCTCTGCACTGAACCAGTGCCGAGCAACCCAAGGGTTAAGGAACGCACAAGGGGTTACTGGCAGTGCTAGGAGCCAAAAGGCCATTCCTGAAGATCAGGCTGATGGCAATTAAGTCATTAGGTAAAGTGAGAGCAACAAGGTCTCCATATCTCCCAACACTGCCCAGCAGGAGGTGAGTGGGGTTTGCTGCAGCCCTAGGGCTGGTGTATGGCCTTAGCAGAAGGGGAAGTGTTTCAGGATCTGTGTGGACCTGAATGTGGGGCGGGGCAGGGAGCTCTCTGGCATGAGTTCCCTTCCCTGGAGAAGCTGACTGCTTTCTGGCCACGGGGCAGGTTCTGGCCCCCGGCTCCCCCACTGGTGTATGGGGCTGACGTTTCCAGCCGCTTCCCCCTTTTTGTCACATCCCCTGGCTCGTCCCAGTTTGGGATATTGGAATTTCCCGTGGGATGGAAATTCCATGTTCGGACCAGCTCTAGTGCCCTGCAGAATAGCTCTGACTTTTCCAAGCGTGCTCCCAGCCAGTTTTGAATCTACCATCCATCTCATCTTCCTCATACGAAGCCCCTTGTATCAAAGGCCTTACATGGAAATACTTGTTCATCACTCTGAAATTTCTCCTCTCAGTTCCCACCCTTTCTCTTCCCCACATTCCTGATGGACTTGATTTGGGCTACTAAATCTCTGACACAATTCTACTGAGGCCAATGGCATTACACCTGGGACGAACCAGCCCTTTCACCACATTCCTTACTCTTCAGGTTCTTTCAGATCATTGCTCCTTTGTGCTCTCATGTGCTTCTCATCTTTAATATGTGCACTATGTAAAACAAAACCAAAAACCACACCTGCAACTGTTGCAGATCCCTTTCTAGCAACAACATTATCTCTAATCTCTCTAGGATACCCGCGAGGAAATGCTCAATGTAAATATCTTACCTGGGCAGGAATGCTCTCCAGAACTTAACTCAGCATTCTTTGCCCCAATCCTGTAAACATTGGACTAGCGCACAGAGGTATAGTGAGCCGTCCCTTCCACATCCTCAGAGCATGCCTGTGCATGCAAACCGAATGTGTGAGAAATGTGCCTGCCGAGCTATGCAGATTTCCGAGCAACACGGGTGTTTAAATATTAAAAAATACAGAACGTGTGTGCATGCATGTCAATGGATACTACTAGGTCAGTAGGGGGCGATGCATGATCATTCTTATTGCCTGCCCACATTTGGAAACAAAACCCTGAACTGCAAGCCAGAGACTGTCTACAGAAAGCACCTAGATCTCTGTCAAAGCAGCAGAGGTTCTCTTGGAGATAAATTGGTCAATTGTGTGTTCTGTAATCAGTACAAATCGCTCTGAGCTTTAGTCAAGTTTTCTCCCTCTTTTTTTTTTTTCAACAGGTGATTTTATGCTGGTCTTTGGTCACATTTTCACCTCCCAAGTATGGCTCAGTCGAATACCCTGCGTGGGGATCGGCTGTGGGCTGGTGCATGATTGTCTTCTGCATCATCTGGATTCCCATTGTTGCGATTGTAAAAATAGTGAAAGCGCCAGGAAATCTGTGGCAGGTAAAGGTCGAAGAGAACAGCTGCAATGGGGCCCCAGCGTCAGCTGCCCTGACGGACGTTAATGGGGACACTAACAGTGACCTTACTGGGGGCAGGATCCGACTCTGACTTCTTACATTAATCAGACAAACTTGTTGGATCAAATCAAATCCTGGCATTGCCAGAGGTGAATTTGGCCCGACTGGTTGTCAGACGAAGGTATCGGTAATTCCCTTGGAATTTCATAGTCATTTGGCCGTGGTCAGTGTGTCCCTGTGGTACAGACGTGCAGTCTGTCCTGATCTTCATGGTCTGATTTACTGCTTCCGTTGTCATACCAGTGCTGAACGATGCAACTTCAAATCTACAGTCAGGCTCGCATCTTCACTCGGGCCACATCCCACTGTAGTTAAGGAGGGTTCGGACTGAGGAAGAGACAAAGTGGGTGACCCACTTCTCTTGGTGAGAGAGACAAGTTTTGAAGATACACAGAACTCTTCAGGCCTGGGAAAGGTCGTGAGAGTGTCACAGCTAAATACAGGGTCCAACCGATAATTTAGCATAAGTAATTAGCACATTTTCTGAGGGACCGTTCAAGGTGAAATGGCCCATTAACACCCCTGTCGCCATAGGACAAAAAGGGGAGGGGAGTAGTAGGTATAGATTGTTGTAATAAGCCATAAATCCAGTGTCTTTATTAAGACCATGGTTTTTAGTGTCTAGCAAAGTGATTAATTTAAGCTCCCAGGCTCGTCTTTTGAAGGTGTTGTGCAGATTTCCCTGGAGGATGAGGACTGAGAGGTCAGATGTAGAGTGATCGCTTTGGGGAAAGTGTTCACCCACAGGTGACAGGGTGTTTTTGCCTTTTTTTCATTTTCCTGCGTGAGCTCATTCGAGAGTGTAGTGATTGTCGGGTTTCACACACACAGATGTAATTGGGCATTTAATGCACTGGATGAGGTACACCACATGTTGCGATAGGCTTGTGTAGGACCATGGATCTTGAAAGGTGTGTTGTGGGGTTATGACCATCGTACCAGTGGAGATATGTCTGCAGGTTTTGCATCAATTGTTCTGGCAGGGTCTGGTGCCGCTTTGAGTTGGTGTCTCCTGGTCTGGGGGGAGCTTGCTTGTGATGATGAGCTTGTAGAGGCTGGGGGGTTGTTTGAAGGCTGAAGAGTGGGTTCAGGAAATATTTTTTTCCAAATAGGGTCCCCATTGAGTGGGGGTGCAATTGTTTGATGTTACCCCATATGGGTTCCAGCGTGGGGTGGTGGGGACAACTAGGGTTATGGGGTTGGAGGGGGATCTTATTTCAGTATTGAAGCAGGTTCTTTTGCAGGTTCTAAATGCAACTGAACTTACTGGGCATTTGTGATTTGTAACCAAATATTTGGATCGCTTTGATTTTGAACCTGAGGTGGGGGATTGGAGCAGCGGGGAGGTTGACGTTTAGATTTCTCCCCACTGTGCAAGAAGAAATTACCAAATAAAGCATGCTGAAGAGAATAAAAACATGCAAAGAAATAGCAGCAGCTGGAAATTAAATCCCCTTTGGGGACTGTGTTTTTTGCTTCCCAGCGTATTGTGAGTTGCTGCCGGCCGGCTGCTAACTGGGGTCCCTCTCTGGAATGTCACCGAGGAGAAAGGTACAGCCACATGGTAGATCCCCACAAGGAAAGAGATCAGGAGATCCCCACCGTGGATGGCTTCGTGCACAAGCTGGAATGAGACGCCTGCCCTGGCCTGCATTATTTTTAACACAAATGTATTTTCTTTTTGTTTAATGTTGGAGAATAGTGTGCCAAACTATTGAAAGCTGTACTATTTATTGTTAGCTCTGCCTTACAGGGAGGAGCAGGTCATGGAGTAGAGAGGAAAGCCCAAGCCCACAGGCTGGGAGGGCAGGAAAATACACTCCAGCCAGGGGCGGCTCTATGGTTTTTGCCACCCCAAGCATGGCAGTTAGGCAGCCTTCGGCGGTATGCCTGCGGGAGGTCCGCTGGTAACGCGGATTCGGCGGCATGCCTGCGGGAGGTTTGCCAGTCCCGCGCCTTTGGCGTACCCGCCGCCGAATTGCCGCCAAAGCCGCGGGACCGGCGGACCTCCCGCAGCCATGCCGCCGAGGGCAGCCTGACTGCCGCCCTCAAACCGACCGGCAGGGTGCCCCCCGCGGCTTGCCGCCCCAGGCATGCACTTGGTGCGCTGGTGCCTGGAGCCGCCCCTGCTCCAGCCTCTCAGAGCGTAGGGACTGGGAGCAGTCTGTAGGGCAGCTGGCCTGCAGATGCTGCTATGGGGGGATGTGTTCTGGTGCTCTCCTGCCCAGGGCTTGAGCCACGGGGCTCTGTGCTAGGCACGTACCAACAAGCACCTCCCCGCACGCGCTGTTTTCTGGAGCTGGTGCACAGCTCAGGCTGACGGTACGCAGAGGGGCGGATGGGTTGCTGCTCTCCGCTCAGCAGCCCAGGGAAAGTGAATCATTGCTGCTGTCTGGGCCTTGCTCAGGCTTCTCAGCCTGGTGCTGAGCAAAATGTGCGTCTGTGTTGTCTGTGTGTCTCGACGTTGAGGGGTGACAAGCTGCCTTGCTTACGAGGCTAGAATGTGGCAAGGCAAGTTCCCATAGATTTATCATATCTCTGGGTGGCAGTGAGAGATCTGATTGTTTAGTTCAGTGTTTCTCAAACAGGTTCCGTGGAACACTGGTGTTCCGCACGATGTGAATAGGTGTTCAGTGAAAGAATCATAGTTAAAAAAAAAAAATTATTTTAAATTTGGCATATTTGAAGAGTAGTTTACAACTCTTTTGGAATGACTATAATTTAACATAAAACGGTTATTGATAGATCTCGTATTGAATATCATGGCGTAAAGAGAACGTGGCACGCAAGCATGTCCCTTTCAGGGACGTTTCAGTTAGTGACGTTGTACCCCTTCTGCTCGAGGTTGGGCGAACTGCAGCGGTATGCACACACCATTCTCTTTACGCCATGGTGAATATAACATATTCACTCAACACGTTCAAACCCGTTGGTCTTTACCGTGTGTGCGATAAGCACAACTAAACTAGCTTTGCTCAAAACAATATAAATATTTGTGACAAACAAAATTTGACAAAAATCAGTGTTTCTAAATAGTGTTACTAAACCTAATCACCATGGATTTGTGGCTAAAAGAAGGAACTTTGAAACGAAAAGCAAGTTCTTCTGGTACTCCAACTGTGGCCAAAATAAACGAATAAAATATTGTGACACTTCAAAGTGAGGATGAACAATCGCAGTCTTTTGTTGCCGAAAAATCTGTTAGTACTAGTGAGTTATCCAAGGTGAAAGAATTTCCACCGAAGAATATCAAAAAACAAGAAGAAGCAGGTGTTAAAAGACCGAAACGAAAGTATGATGAAAGTTATTTGTCTTTCGGTTTTACATGTGTTGGAAATAAAGATGTTCCCGATGCGAAATGCGTTGTGTGCAACAAAATACTAGCAAACAGTTCATTGGCTCCTGCTAAACTTCGTAGGCATTTGGAAACCAAGCATGCTGAATACAAAGACAAAGATATAAGTTTTTTCAAGCAGAAGAAGCATGACTCACTTGGAAATTGTAAACTTTCAATGATTAAAATTGCTAAAACAGACAACAAAAGTGCAACAGAGGCATCTTATCGAGTAAGTTACCGTATAGCACTTGCCAGAGAAGCTCACACTATTGGAGAAACGCTTATCAAGCCTTGCGCGAAGGATATTGTAATGTGCATGTTGAGCGAGCAGTCTGGTAAAAATGTGGATGCTGTACAGTTGTCAAATAATACTGTTGCACGCCATATTAAAGATCTTGTCGATGACATAGAAAAAGAGCTAGTTTGCCAACTGAAAATTTGCCATGAGTATTCATTGCAGCTAGATGAGTCCACTGACGTTTCAGGACTTGCTGTGCTACTAGTATTTGTCCGATATAGATTTAATAATATTATTGAAGAGGACCTGCTCTTATGTGAATCTCTGCAGAGCAACACAACTGGAGAAGAAATACTCAACTGCATCAACAATTTTATCAGAAAGCATGAAATTAGTTGGGGAAAATGTATTGATGTATGTACTGACGGTGCTCGGGCAATGATTGGGAAGATGAAGGGAGCTGTAACGCGAATCTTAAGTGTGGCACCAGAAAGCACAAAGAGCCATTGTGTTCTACACAGACAAGCACTTGCAGTTAAAAAAATACCAGCATCTCTGAAAATTGTGCTCGATGAAGCAGTACAAATTATCAATTTTGTCAAATCTCGACCACTTCAATCCAGGTTATTTAAAATGTTGTGTGAGGAAATGGGTAGTCAGCACAAAGCGCTTCTTTTACATACGGAAGTGAGGTGGCTATCCAGAGGAAAAGTGCTTGTGAGGCTTTTTGAGCTTCGTAGTGAACTACTGGTATTCTTCACTTCAGATAATTCAGGATGAACATTTAATGACTGTCTGACAAATTCCTCATGGCTAATGAGACTTGCGTATCTTGCAGATATTTTTGCAAAATTAAATGAAATTAATCTGTCGCTGGAAGGAAAGAATGTGACCATTTTTACAACAGTGGATAAAATTTCGTTGTTAAAAAAGAAACTGGAATTCTGGGTATCTTCTGTAGAACAGAATAACTTCGACTGCATCCCTACAGTACATGAATTTCTGACTGAAATAAATTCTACAGTCCATGAAGAAGTTTCCAGCACCATTTTCTAGCACTTACGTGACTTGCAGGCCTCTTTATTAGAATATTTTCCTACAATTACTGATGATAATGCTTGGGTTCAAAATCCATTTGTAATTACAGCCAAACCAGTCGGCTTTACTGCGCATGATTATGAAAGCCTAATTGACTTAATTTCTGACTCTGATTTGAAACAAAAGTTTAAGGATCTTCCGCTGAATAATTTTGGAGCAGCCTAATAGAAGAGTACCCTAAAGTGGCTAAACGTGCAGTTCGAGTGCTCCTTCCTTCTGCTACAACTTATTTGTGTGAGACGGGATTTTCGTATTATACTGCAACAAAAAAACAAATATAGGAATAGACTTGATGCTGTGCCTGACATGAGGATTCAACTTTCCAGCATTATTCCTAATATTAAGCAAATTTGTGATA